AGTATTGTGTCGGGAAAAAGTGGAGCTTAGGGTCGGCCCTCGTCTCTATTTCACTAATCCCATTTGTTATGTTGTTCACTTTACGCTGCTTCACATTTACGCTACGTCGCGGGGTTCAATTAACGGGCGTAAAGTGAGGTGGTTCACTGTATATATATATATACAATCAACACCTCAACCCGGCCAGGATTCGAACTCACGCCCATGAGCCCATGACTGTGACTGGGGAACGCCACTTGGACCACCAGGATGCAAAAGCAGTCCTAGACTCTTAAGTTATATTTCACACAAAGCCTGTTCAACGAGAGCTTATGGCGCCTTTGAACCTCTAATGGGACTACCGTATCATGTAGGTGGCCTGAGTAACGTTTTACCAAATCCGCTTCAAAACGCGAGGATCCATATATATATTTCAATAGCCCAATAATGCACGCGACTTCCTTACATACAATCAACACCTCAACCCGGCAGGATTTCGAACCCACGCCCACGAGCCCATGACTGTGACCGGGAACGCCACCTCTGACCACTCAGGATACAAAGCAGTCCTAGACTCTGTTATATTTCACACAAGGCCGGATTTAATGGGCTAATGAAATATATATATATATATATATATATATATATATATATATATATATATATATATATATATATATATATATATATATATATATATATATATATATATATGCAAGTAAATCACTGCGCATGATTTAGGTATATATATGCTGATATATACATATATATATATATATATATATATATATATATATATATATATATATATATATATATATATATATATATATCTTGACAAAAACACACGGAAAAGTGTACAACTGAGATTCCAGAAGCTGCCTTTTATTCAAGACATCTTCAGAGTAAGTATGAATATATATATATATATATATATATATATATATATAAATCACTGTAGGTGTGCGTGATCCAGGTATATGCTGATAACAACAAGGAAAAAGAAACACGAAGTTCCCAAGCGCTTTCGTGTAATTCACATCTTCAGGGGTGAGTACAGACTAAGAAGAAGTACAGAACAGGGTATATATATATACAGAGGAGGGTGGAATCAAGTCCACAGAGGTCAAGTATAGGTAATGACCCTACTAATCTTCACAAAACCACCGCAGCGGTCGGTAGTCAGGTCAGAGGGAAAAACTGACCCAACCTTCTCACCTGGTTACAAATCTTCTTAATTACAAAATTGTCCAATTTGTACATATCATTACTGAAAGTCATGATAACAGATTCGGTATGTTTAATGAGACTAGATTCTATAATGTTCCTACTGTCAATTGAATTACAAGGTAGTATTGAGGAGGCATTATCCCAGTCAATGCAATGCTTATTATCCCTCAGATGAACAAACAGAGCATTGGATTCCTGGCCTGTTCTAGCACTATATTTATGTTGTTTAAGTCTAGTTACAAGATCTTTACCTGTCTGGCCTAAGTTAAACATATTACATTCCTTGCAAGGAACCTTATAAATGCAGCCACTTGTATTGTTGGGGGAGTTCTTGATTAACATTTGTTTAACAGTGCATGAATTTTTAAATGCCACATTGACGTTCCAGGTTTTTAGTTGTAAAGGAATTTGAGAGAAATTTTTGTGAAATGATAATACTAAGAGATTCTTATGGTCATGCCTGAACATTACTAAGAAATCTTTTTATAGAACTGATCCCAAGCCTACCCTTGACCTTATAAACTTGAAGCAACTGGTCAGGAGTGAAGTAGCTTCAGCTCTAATCTATCAGAGTAGCTGAGGTGCCGTAGTGCAGGCACCAGTCTGGTGGCCCTCCTTTGAACATTTTCAATCAACTTACAGTCCCTAGCATATCTCGGGGACCAGACGGGATGACAGTACTCCAGATGAGGAAGCACTTCACTCTTGAAGATCGTTACGAGGGACGGACTATCCAGATATGTGAACGACCTTCGTATGAGACCTAATAATTTAGTTGCCTGATTTACCTTCCTCTCGTAATTGCCCGAGAATTTCAGCTCATTGTCAACATACACACCTAGGTCCTTTTCACATTCATTTTCAATTAATGCAGTTTCTTCGTCTCGTTGGGACATATAATATGCCTCCTTACTGTTGGTCTATAGTTTTTTGTGAAGTGACGATCGCCCTTCTTGAGGCCCCTGGGAGCGCCGCCGCCCCTAATTACCCCGCAAGCGAATCGTGGAGCATATATTGGAAATCAGCATGCTCAGGAGTATCTACAATGTGATTTTCAACAAAATCTAATTTTGGGCCCAAACTGTCGAAAATGTAAGCCTTACACCTTACTAATTTTTCGACCAAAATATACTCTTCTCTCCGATATGAAATTTAAGAGGTTTAACTACTTAAGTACTTACAGAATAACACATTAACACCAAAATCACAATTTGGAAACCCATAGTTGACCAGTAATTAACATTGAAAAATGTCATTAATTTTCCAAGCGTCATTAAAACCACTAATTACCCTGCATTCGAATCATGGACCTTATATTCGAAATCAAGGGCCCTTGGGGACACCGCCTCACCTGGCAGGGCGCCACCACATCTAAAGGGGCCCCAGGGGACACCGCTACCTTTGGGAGCCACCAACCCCGAGAGCGCCGCTGCCCCTGGGAGTGCCCATGGAGGCACCCCTGGATGACTTGGGGCGGTGGCGCTCCTAGGATGGATCCTAGGGGCACCGCCCTTGGGAGGGCTCTTTGGGGTACCGTTCTTGGGGAGGCTCCTGGGACAGCCGCCGCTCCTTGGGATTCCGCCGCCCCTGGAAGGGCCCTTGGGAGCCCCACAGCTCCTGGCAGGGCCCCTGCAGTCTCCGCCACCCCTGGAAGGGCCCCTGGGAACACCGTTGTCTTTGGGAGGGCCCCGGAGGGTGCCGCTGTTTCTGGTAGGCCCCCTGGGGTGCCGGCGCCCTACTGAAGGTCTCACAAGGACACTAAAAAAGGACATGTAATTAAATCTGACGAGGACTCCGCAAAACTACAGGAAGATCCAAACAAATTTTTCGAATGGTCTGCAAATGGCAGATGAAATTCAATCTGGACAAATGTAAAGTACTCAGTATAGGAGATGTAAACAGGGAAACCAGATACCAGATGAACAACGATGTTATTGAGAATCCAACTGCGAGAAAGATTTAGGAGTAATGATAAGTAGGAATCGTAAGCCAAGTAAACAATGCGTATTTGCTCGAAACAAGGCTAATAAAGTACTTGGGTTCATAGAAAGGAGTGTTAATGACAAGACTAGCGAGGTCATCCTAAAACTATATCTTGCGCTTGTGAGACTTCACTTGGATTAAGCAGTTAAATTTTGGTCACCGTATTACAGAATGGATATAGAATCCTTGGAAAGAATTCAGAGGAGAATGACAAGACTAATCCCGGGCATTAGGAACCTTGACTACAGAGACAGGTTAAAGCATCTTAATTTGCACTCCCTCTACAGACGTAGAGTGAGGGGCGATATGATCTAGGTGTATAAATGGAAGTCAGGGCTGAACAAAGGGGACATTACATAAGTACTCAAACTATTCAACCAGGAGCGAACTCGTAACAATGATTTTAAATTAGACAAATTTAGATTTAGGAGCGAAATAGGTAAACATTGGTTTGGAAATAGATTAGTGGACGAGTGGAACAAGTTACCAAATATCATCATTAACTTGAATACGCTGGATAGCATCAAATATAGGTTGGATGGATATATGAGCAATAGGGATTGGGTGTAAATTAGACTGCCTAGTATGGGCCAATAGGCCCGCTGCAGTTTCCTCCATTCTTATGTTCTTATGTTCTTATGTTAACACATTATGCTTCCGATATCTTCCCTATATGTCGACCTTTAGAGATGGTACTGTACAGTGCCTATCTTAATGTTATGGTTGGAGAGATTTTACTGTAAGTGTATTATATGCTAATTTGTCTCTCCATATGACTACTTAACACTCCTGTGTATAATTACGCACGACGTCACTCTGACATCACAGGCCTGAAGGTGGGATACAGTCCGCCACGGAAAGAGCACTGCTCACTGTATCACTCACTACATGGCGAACACCTCAGCCAAAACCTCCCTCTTCGTCGACTTCAAGGGCGCTTTTGAGAAAGGCAACAGTGAGGTGATCCTTGCCCTGTCACTGATGTCACTATGAACTGTTTTAACTAAAGGCACAATACAGTACTACATTCTTTGGTTGGCCTTTGGATGGTCAATCACAACCATGAACACAACTGAAAAAATAATTCCGGATAAATCTTGTCATATGGCAATGATTTTGTGGTTGTAAGCCTCCTGACCCTAGGCTGTACCTAAAGTCGGTGGAGAGTGATTTTCAAATAAACAATCGTCGAATAACGTTAACAATCCCACATCGATTTACACATTCACACATCACGAAGACGATCTTCATGCTCATATGTAATCACTGACCAATTTCTGCCGCTCAACAACAAAGGCCCGAGTGCCAAACCCTCTTTGTTACGGAGACGCAACACGACCCGACCCGCAGACCTAACATAACCTTTATGTCAACAATGATACTGATATAATTGTACCGACAGGCGATAAAATGTAACCATTACCCCTAATGTCACGGTCCGTATTCAACGACGATTTTAACCATATTTGAACTATATTTTTTATATTCAAATAATTAAACGAAATATTGCCCTATAACTCCTTACACTATGAGACTTGCAGGTACACTATGGTTTCACAGAAAATGATGTTTAGGCGTAGAAAACCATTTTACCTATGATATTTGGAACGGCTACTCTTCAACAGTGATCAGGTAATGTACTTAGTCAACAATGATCAGGTAATGTACTTAGATCTATATGAAATACAACACAACTTAAATGTCACAAACACATATATTATCATTGTCCGATTATATATTAATCGTCATCTACATCACTATCATCACCACAGTCACCATTCAGTGGCTCAGTGGACAAATTGTTCACAGGTTTCTGCACTCAGCCAGGCTCCAACTCTCAAATAAACAACGTAGTTTGTTTTTGTTGTAAGTACAACGATCTGTTGTACACTTCTTGGTCTTGCAACCACATGTCAACAGTCCCAGGGATTATCCGTATCACCATACTCCCAGTCACAATCCTTGGGTAGTGATATGAGTGGTGAAGCAGTATTTTCCAGTTGCTAGATTTACACCGAGTGTTGACATGTCTTCAGGTGGTGTATGAGTGAGTCATGTGTCGCTGGCAGGTTCTCACAATAATATTACTCACATTAGGGAAGACATCAGCACGCATTACATTCACTGGTGCTCCTGATGTACTTGGGCTGTATAATTTCATAACAAGTAATTCTTCATCTTCCAATAAATGATCTGTCATATCAGTGAAAGAATTCAGTATCTGTGGGTGTTCAAGCCACACTATTGCATGGTAGCCGGATAAGTTTATGACAACAGGTTCAGGCAAGCTTTGTCGTACGTCATGTGCAAGTATGTGTACTTGGGCTTTGTGGTACAGTCCCCTTCATTAGTGCGTTTACAAGGGCTCCTCATATAACATTCCACAAATCAGTATCTTTAAGATATTTGTTTAAATATTGTTTTAATTTGATTCTATAGTATGTTTACTATTGCCACACTGCACAAAACCTGACGAGCCCCTGTAAACGCACTAGTGAAAGGGACTGTATCTGCGTCGATCCAGCCTTCTTTTGCTATGTGATGGCGTATGAAGAACACAAGCACATTTGAGTTCCTTCAAGAAACAACCAAACGTTTTAATTTCTTATGAGTAGTATCAACAACGTGTAGAAAAAGTCCTGTATCTGTCTCCTTACGAGAATAGTACAGGTGGTCCACGGAGTCACTCAGCTAGCAGCTCATAACTGAACAGCTTCTAGGTTGTCACAACCTCAACTAACTGTTCTGGTTGTAACGAGAGTTCCTTTGTAAGGAACCAGATGAGGTTGGTTCTATATTAAACCAAGTTGAAGAAGTTTCGTCATAAGGTTGGAAGCTGAACATTAAGGGAATCTATGATACAGCGAATATTATTTTCTCTGTTCAAGATTTAATTGTATGTGTGCAATATATATCAAACACCATATCAACCTTGAACACGTCCCCATGAAGTGACTGACAATAGAGAGAGGAGTTTTATGTGCCTTCTTGGGATATGTCTAGTGCAGCCAGTGACGGGGGCAGAGGTGCCAATTCATGCCTTAGTGACGTTGATATGTTAATTTCTCTCACTCTGATAGATGCACCATGAAGTCGCCTGTAGTGGTCTCTGTCTGTCTTCAAGATATTGATTTACTCTGTTTTGTTGGGAACTTTAATGAGTGAAGAAATCAGATTTGGTCTTGCAGATAGAAGCAGGGAATCCCCAGAGGGCTCACACCCTAGTTACTGCACAGCTGTTGTACACTTAAAAGGTCTTGTTTGACAGTAGGGACAAGACCATTTGTTGAGCTACATAGTACAGTAGGTCTGCACAATCTTATTCAAAAGAATTGAACTGCTCTAGTTTCAGAGCTTGTTACCTTAATTCTTTTCACCCATTTCCACACAATGACATCTCAAGTCCAATTGTTTCGAAGTTCAACCTGATGACATTCTATCCTGCACAAGTGCGTACCTTTAATCATTGAACCAGATCACAACCGCTGACCATTCACTGATCAAGAGCTGACTTAGAAAGCCTGATTTGGAGAATTCCTGCATCTGTCTTATACAGTTTGTTGACATATTACAATGCCATTCTCTGTGTACTTTACTAAGGACACCGTCTGATTCCTTCTCTACGAAATTATCTATAGAAGACTCCCTTGTAAGATCGGCCAAGTGAGCTGCTCCCAGTGTGTAGTTTAATGACATAATTTCTCTAAAACTCATGAAAAATAACATCTCGTTCTACTCGATAAAAAGTAATTGGAGTTGAACAATATCCTTTTATTGTTTCCAGAACACGAATGTGGCACTGGTGTTATTTTTTTGGATGAAGGCATTCAAGTCGCACCTGAATTCGTCCCCATTAAACATAAAGTTTTGGAGTGACGCTTTAGCAGCTTCTGTATCTGTCAGTGCTCCCATAAAATGATGCTGTGAAATCTGCGACTAAATCATTGAGAGTGTGGTAACTTTCCTTATGCTGGTTGATGAATGTTCTTCAAAAACAATGTTAGTGCTTCCAGTGTAAGTTTATGGGTGTTTATTACTCTATTCCAAAACTCTCCAGCAAAAATATTGTTGAAAGTACTGTACATTCGTATACACATCGGAGACCAGACCGGTAGTTACAATAACGAGAAGAAAATGAAAAACTTCCATCGTCACCGACATACAGAAAACCCCAATAAAATGCCATAAATTTGATTTATGTCCAGTTACTGTAAATGTAAATATTAGATAGTTGACAGGAAAAGAAAAGTAGAGATTTGTATATCAAGAATTACTGTGTTTTCTAATATCACGAAAGCTGTCGATGAAATATAGTTATCAAGCGTAGAAGTCGAGAAATAACCAGAAATAGGTATGAGAATTCCATCTATCATTCTGTAATGGTTGTTGCTTAACACAACACAAAGTGAACTACCTCGATAAGCCAGACCTGTATCTACTGTAGACGGCCCTCAGTTTAATAAATGGGTCGCCTCTTTTCCACCTGTCTTTTTGCGCGCCTTTACGTAGCCAACTAGATTTTTGGGCGAAGACGATTAGGTTCCTTCTGGATGTGGTTATTATCAGTCTTTTTGTGTGTTTTCAGTTTAATGAAGCTTCTCCTTTGATAATACAGGTCTTTGGCCTCGATGTGAAAGAGAGCGAGGACTTTCCCAATCATCTTATGGATACCCTGAGTTCTCCTTAATGCTATGAATACATACAATTAACATTATATAACTGTACCTGGGTACAATACAACACATGGTCTAGTAACATTGAGTAGGTGAGTTATCCTTTATCAACGTTTCCCGTTCTCTGAGATTGTACAAGCGCGGTGGATTTGAATGTTATGTAGCGTAATATGAATGAAAGGGGGTTTTTAGGAATGACAATGATGTGCGCAGTATACCCGGGCAGCTAGTGAGCCGATCTTTTGGTGAAGAGGATAAATGAAAAGGAAAACTGCTCAGAGACGTGACCGATCGCCCAAGCGGCTGACGAGCCTGTAGTGGACGTCTCCCCTACAACTGCGTAGCCGCATTCCACCTGCTACGTCTTCCCTAGCAACCAAACGAGCGGCCCAGGGGGGGGGGGCGTCACCAGATGCCACAGTATCCTAGCAACCAGCCACCAGCTGCTACCGTTCCCTAGCAACGTATCAAAAGACCGGCGACTTCCCACGGTCTACTTCCGGCCGCTGTGTATATAAGCTCTGTCTCTCCATTAAGATTCATTCTGGCCTCTCTTCTTGAACACACAACACCTCCTCCTCCGCCGCTGCCTGGCGGCCCTCGCTTCTCCTCCGTCTGCCTGGCGGTCCTCGCTCCCGCCGGTGAGCATGGCGACCCACCAGCTGTCCTTCTCTGAGCGTCCTCACCAACCAGCTCTCTCATTCTGCTCTCGGTTCCTGAACACGCAACAACTCCTCCAAGCAAGCTCCTCGCTGTCCCGTTCTCATTCAACCTGGAGGCCAGCAACAGGCAACATCTTCTCTAACGAAGCTCCTGCACATCTACCTCCTTCAACACGCTACTCACCGAACGTGTCTACTGAGCAGCTCCTCACCACACAGCATCTCCAGCACCAGACTGTCTACCATATAACTTATATTATATAAGAAAACCACCACCTTAGAGTTTCCATCCATCCTGAGTGCTAGACAACATAATATCACGAAACCCTACAAGCCGATCAGTGGTGAAGAGGATAAAAGTAAAAAGTAAAAGAACCGATCCCAAGCCCACCCATGACCATAAGAATCTCTAAGTATTACCATTTCACAAAAATAACTCTCAAATTCCTTTACAACTAAAAACCTGGAACGTCAATGTGGCATTTAAAAACTCTTGCACTGTAAAACAAATGTTATTCAAGAACTCCCCCAACAATACAGGTGGCTGCATTTACAAGGTTCCTTGCAAGGAATGTAATATGTTTTACTTAGGCCAGACAGGTAAAGATCTTGTAACTAGACTTAAACAACATAAATACAGTGTTAGGACAGGCCAGGAATCCAATGCTCTGTTTGTTCATTTGAGGGATAACAAGCATTGCATTGACTGGGATAATGCCTCCTCAATATTACCTTGTAATTCAATTGACAGTAGGAATATTATAGAATCCAGTCTCATTAAACATACCGAATCCGTCAACATGAATTTGAGTAATGGTATGTACAAACTGGATAATTTCGTAATTAAGAAGATTTGTAACCAGGTGAGAAGGTTGGGTCATCTTACCCTCTGACCTGACTACCGACTGCTGCGGTGCTTTTTGAAGATTAGTAGGGTCACTACCTAATAACCTGACTATTGTGGACTTGATCTCACCTTCCTCTACTGTATATATATTTGCCTTATGTATTTCTCCTTAGTCTGTACTCACCCCTGAAGATGTGAATTACACGAAAGCGCTTGGGAACTTCGTGTTTTCTTTTTCCTTGTGGTTATCAGCATATACCATATATACATATTTACTTATATATATATATATATATATATATATATATATATATATATATATATATATATATATATATATATATATATATATATACTTCATTTTTAGTCCATATAACACGCGGACTTTGAACATATAATCAACGACCTCACCAGCAAGGAATCGAACCCTCGACCTACTGGGTGTGACTAGGGAACGCTTACCGGCTAGGCCACAAGGACACTAAAAGCAGTTCTAGACTCTGTTATATTTCACACAAAGCCTGTTCATCGAGCTGATGGCGCCGTGAACCTCATTGGGAAACTGCCCGTGCCTCTTATGTGGTGTCAGTAGCATTTTACCGAATCCAGCTGGTATGAAACGCGAGGTACATATATATACTTCATTTTTAGTCCATATAACACGCGGACTTTGAACATATAATCAACGACCTCACCAGCAAGGAATCGAACCCTCGACCTACTGGGTGTGACTAGGGAACGCTTACCGGCTAGGCCACAAGGACACTAAAAGCAGTTCTAGACTCTGTTATATTTCACACAAAGCCTGTTCATCGAGCTGATGGCGCCGTGAACCTCAATGGGAAACTGCCCGTGCCTCTTATGTGGTGTCAGTAGCATTTTACCGAATCCAGCTGGTATGAAACGCGAGGTACATATATATACTTCATTTTTAGTCCATATAACACGCGGACTTTGAACATATAATCAACGACCTCACCAGCAAGGAATCGAACCCTCGACCTACTGGGTGTGACTAGGGAACGCTTACCGGCTAGGCCACAAGGACACTAAAAGCAGTTCTAGACTCTGTTATATTTCACACAAAGCCTGTTCATCGAGCTGATGGCGCCGTGAACCTCATTGGGAAACTGCCCGTGCCTCTTATGTGGTGTCAGTAGCATTTTACCGAATCCAGCTGGTATGAAACGCGAGGTACATATATATACTTCATTTTTAGTCCATATAACACGCGGACTTTGAGGTCGTTGATATATATATATATATATATATATATATATATATATATATATATATATATATATATATATATATATATATATATATATATATATATATATATATATATATATTCAGAAATTTCAGAGTAATTTCAAATGCCCCACCATTAGCGATACTGAGCGTTCAAGGTCATCTGAGGGGAGAGAGCGCTGCCTGCTCATAGCGAGAGATTGCGGAACTAGGCCTATATGATATTAAATGTAATTCACCGAATTAATAATGATGTGATTCATGAAGTAAGGGACTATTGTTGAATTTGAAATTATTACAGATCGTTTATCAGTCTGAATAATGTTACAGGTGTCCCAAGGAGTTATTAGTTAGGCGGAAAATATGTCACGTAGACCTAAGCTAACGCCTTGAGAGGAGACGCGACGCTGG